CTTTCTTTCTTTCTTTCTTTCTTTCTTTCTTTCTTTCTTTCTTTCTTCTTTCCTTCCTTCCTTCCTTCCTTTCTTCCTTCCTTCCTTTCTCTTTTTCTTTCTCTCTCCCTTTCTTTCTGGTGGAGGACTATGGGTATGGAAGACTCCTATACTATCAGATTTGGTGGATATTTTGGTTAGTTTTGCTGAACTGCTTGTTTTTCCTCTTTCTTTTTTATTTTTTCTTATGAAGGATGGCTCAGTCAGTAGGAAGAGAAGGATATGTTCAGAAATGAAGGTGATATAAAAACAAGCATTATCAAAAATTTAAATTAAAAAAGAGAACATGGTAATTTTTGAGTTTCCATCAAGAAGTCTGATTTTAACATATTAAGAAGTGAATAGAAAGCTAGAAAGTAAACAGGTGTAGATGAGTTTTTATAAGAGTTAGGTTATGAAATGGAGAAGAGATATTGTATAATAGTTTGAGAAGATGAGAGGTTCAGCTGAAGTTTCTTTTTAAAGGTTGGGGAAGATGTGGTTCTGTCCACAAGAAGGAGCCTCTGGATGTTGAGAAATTGAAGATTAGAGGGAAGGGAAGGGTTGGTTCATGGGATAATCTCCTAGAGAAGACCTGATAGTATGGGATCCAGAGCACAAGTAGAGGGGTTAGCCTTAGCAGGGAGAGGCATGAATTCTTCTATTCCTGGAGCAAAGGAGAAGAGAATAGGGGTATGATGGGTGATGTTAAGGCTATTTGTAGTGTAAAAATGGGGAAAAGATGAAGTTAGCAATGAATGGCTTTTATCTTATAAAGTGTGATGAAGTGAGAGCCTTTGCTGAGGGGGAAGGGTAAGTAGAGGTGGCTTGAAGAAAGCTTTGAAATAGATGTTGTAGAGAATGTGATAGTTTATCAGGGAAAAGTAAGAGGATCACCTTGAAACAGTGAGGGCCATTTGAGATTAGAAAGCACATGTTTGTAGTTGTCCCAGTCAACATGATAGTATGACTTCCTCCAACATTTATTAGCATATAACTAGGAAGGGAAAAGGCAAATAATTTGGAGTTAAGAAAAGGATGAGTAGTGATAGGACAAGGGGTCAAGAGGGTAGAAGACAGCACAAAGTTGAGCTAGGTAATTATAGGGAGGAAAGTGAGACTAGAACAGGAGTAATGGGCTAAGAAAACAAGAGGGATGGAGTGACTCAAGGTCATGATGATGTTGGAGAACAGATTCAGCAGGAATGAGACAGAGGGAGAGTCTAAGAGAGGAATTTCAGAATTTTAGATCTTGAAGATTAAACAATTACAGGTGATGTTAAGATAAAGTTTAAGACTCTATGTGTAGCTGAGGTGGAGTGAAGGTGCTGATAATGGGAGTGGAGGAAGCTTATAAACTGGGAAGTCAATATCAGCATGAATGTTAAATTCCCAAGTACAAGGGCAGGAGCTGAGGTGGAGAAGAAGAACTGAACTCCTTCATAAGGGAAAGAGAATGACTTGAGAGCCAGGAGAGTATAACAACCAGGATCTGGAGAGGCTGGTATATTTAGGTGAAGTGAATCTCAAAGGAGGAGAGGTTGCTGAATGATGGCCATAGATTAAGGGGTTGGAAGTGATAGTGGAGAGAAAATAGACTCTGATAATTTTTATTTCATTGAGATACCTAAGGATGAGAGATATGTAATCATGATGGACTGAAATGCCAATATTCATATTACTCATATTACTCACTACTACTTCTGGTCCAGAAGGAAGAAAAGGTTTTAAGCATTTATCCTGGGAAAAGAATGCAATCATCCGTAGGTCACTGAACAAGTATCTGTTGGTGGTAGCTCTGTACTACTGAGAGTTAGTATCTTAAGGGGCATGTGCCATGATGGTTGGTATTTCTAACCTATATCATAATGATTATATGATATCTCTCATATTCTTGGGAGTCTCAGTGAAAACAATTTCATTGGGGCTGTGGAATGAATGAGTGGCTACTTAGTAGAGTGCACTGTTCATTGTGGATATTTAATACATGGGTGTTGAATGGTGAATGATTTAATTAACTATCCTTCATTGAATACCTCCCTTGTGGCCAGAAATGTGTTGGCTATATCCCAGAGGAGATAGAAGAAGACATCATTCCTGTTTTGGGGGAACCCATAATCTAGTTAGGAAGACAAAACTCACATATGTGAAATAACCAGTACAAGACAGTTGGAGGACCATTCTGTGTGGTTCAGACAAAGTCCTCTAGGAATTCAGAAAAAAGGAAAGATTATTATTGTAAGATACTGTCCCTTTAAAGTGCTGCCCTATTGTGTGGAGCAGTTTGTTGCTGACTTGTCTACTTTGCTCAGAGAAACAGTTACACTGAGTCAGAGTTCTGAGACAATTATTACTTGTTTTTGACTGTGATAGGCTATAGTGTAATAGAAATAGAAATAATATAGTATAATATGGATATCAGAATTGTTTTATGATTATAAGACACATATAACTTATCTGATTCTAGGCAGAATATGAGAATTTGTTTACTAATCATAAACTAAGATTGGGTTGTTTGTAGAGAGAACTAGAGTTGGAACCCAGAAAGATAAAAAGAGAAAGAGAGAGGGAAAGATTTCAGTACCACATCAGCTAAATTTGAAATTGGAAGTGGTGGATACTGTAGTTACTGGGGAAGAGGAAGTTCAGTGGAAGCAGAGAATCATAGATGTCATCTAGCAGATCCATTAATGTCACTGAGACGACGTGTCTCAGTTGGTCAAGCACAGTGTGTGTCAACTCTCCTTAACGGTGGAAACATTTGTTCAACACAGAAACTGTGTTGATTTATATGAACAGTTCCTGAGACAGAAAAAGGACACCAAAGTTCCAAAGTTGTGACTTTTGCCAAGTACTTGGGTTTTCTTCACTCCCGTACTTCTTTGGCAGATTCCTGTGTGTGTCTACTTTTCCTTGTAGATACTATGAGTACATTGGTAGGAGAGTATGACTTAGGCCTATGTGCAAACAGTGATGCATTTATTATTTCTCTATTTTCCTTAAATATATGAATGAATATCTGTGATGTTATTTTTTGCCTTATAGTTCAATAAATAGTTATGATTAAAATCTAAATTGTCATTATTGTGGGTGGTAGGCATTGGGTGAATGTAAGCACATCAGGGAATATATTCTCCCACAACAAGTTTATCCACAAGATCTTGAGAGAATTTTGGTGTAATCACCTGGTTCTTCTCTGAGAATTGTAGACCAGCCAGAGTCGGAGCAGCCCAGAAAGTGAGTAGGTATCCATATGCCCTATGTGAGAAGTTGAGTTACTACATCGTGGGTTAGTCATCTAGTGTACTCTTTACGCTATATTTTCCTGCATAATTTTTTTTTAATCTATCTGTTCCCCTTGGCCATTGGAATTTCAGAGTAACTGTGACTCTTTTGTTTTCTCTTTCAGGTAGTAGAAGTCCTATTTATGTCTGTTTATTGTTTTGAGTTCTGCATCAAACTTTACGTGGATCCCCTTGGATATTGGAAGAATGGATACAATTTGTTGAATGTTGTCATCATCATCATCCTTTCTGTTCCTTTTTATATGCGGAAGCTGTTTGGCAGGCACTACCCATATCTAAATATAGGAGAAGGCATCCAGTCTCTTCGAATTCTCAAACTCATTCCCTACAGCCGAGGAATAAGGGTAAAAGTGGTTGATTGCGTACATAGCCCTATACAGGCACTGGGGATTTTTTTTTTTTAAATATTTTTTAATTACATTTGAGTCCCAAGCTGTTTCCTTCTCTCCCTCCCAACCCCATACTAGAGAAAGTCAACCAACATTTGACATGAATATACATATGTACATACATACATACATATATACACACACACACACATATGTATAAAACTGCACAATACATAGTTCATTATGTCAGTTTTTTCTCTGAAGGTGGATAGCATCTTCCTTCATAGGTCCTTTGTAGTTGATTTGAATATTCATATAATTCAGAATAGCTTTGTCATTCACATTTACTCTTCAAACAGTATTGCTCTTAGTGTATACAGCATTCTCTTGGTTCTGCTCATTTCACTCTTCATTATTTCATGCAAGTCTTTCAATGTTTTCCTAAAGTCAACCTGTTCAGCATTTCTTATAGCACAGTAGTATTCAATTATAATCATATACTACAACTTATTCAGCCATTTCTCAATTGACAAGCATTCCCTCAATTTCTAGTTCTTCACCAGCATAGAGAGAGCTGCTATAAATATTTTAGAACATATAGGTTCTTTTACTTTTTCCCTGATCACCTTGGGAAATAGACCTAATAATGGTATTGCTAGGTTCAAGGGTATACACAGTTTTATAACTCTTTGGGCATAATTCCAGATTACTCTTCAAAATGATTGAAAGTTGTTTTAATTTTCATTTCTTTAATGAATAATAATTTAGAGCATTTTTCATATGACTATGTATAGCTTTGATTTCTTTCTCTAAAACTGCCTGTTCATATCTTTTGACCATTTATCATTTGGGGAACAGCTCATATTCTTATGAATTTGATAAAGTTCTCTATATTTTTGAGATATGAGACCTTTATTCAAGAAACTCTATAAAAATCCTCCCCTCCCCCCAATTTTCTACTTTCCTTCTAATCTTGGCTACATTGAGTTTTAGTTGTATAAAACTTTCAAAATTTAATGTAGTCAAAACTATCCATTTTATGTCTCACAATGCTCTCTTATTTATTCATAAATTCTTCTACCATAAATCTAATAGGCAATATGTTCCACATTCATCTAATTTACTTGTGATATCTCCCTTTATGTCTAATCATGTATCCATTTTGACCTGAGCTTGGTAAATGGTGTAAGATATTGGTCTATACCAATAGACCTGCCAGACTGCTTTCTAGTTTTCCCAACTATTTTTACTAAACAGTGAATTCTTAACCTGAAAACTTAAATCTTTAAATTTATCAAACACAAGGTAACTATAATAATTTACTACTGTGTGTTGCGTATTTGCTCTATTCTGCTGATCCACCATTCTATTTCTTAGCTAGTACCAGGTAGTTTTGATAATTATTACCTTTAATACAATTTAAGATTTGACACTGCTAGACTTCCTTCCTTTACATTTTTTTCATTAATTCCTTTGATATTCTAGATCTTTTGCTCTTCCAAATGAATTTTGTTATTTTTTTTCTAGCTCAATAATATTTTTTTTGGTAATTTAATTGGGATGGTACTGAAGAAGTAGATTAATTTAGATAGGATTGTCATTTTTATTATATTGGCTTGACCTACCCATGAACAAAAAATTCTTTTTATTCCATTTCTATTAGACCAATTGGGAAGAGTGATGGGGGAAAAGAAACATTAATGTTATTGCAGCTTGTTATTTGAAGCATTTTTAAAATTGATTGAGTCTCTTTCCTATATGATGATATTAATAAATCACATGACCATTAACAATGAATTGTCCAACCATATGAAATAAAGCTCCAAATCACTAATAAAGTAAACTCCTCTATTTAGCTTAGATTTTTTGGGTAACTTTTATTTTATTTTAAAAAAATTAACAAGCATTTATTTATTTTTCCCCAATGAGAGAGAAAAAAAGAAAAACAAAACCCTTGCAACAAATATGTATAGTTAAGCAAACAAATTTCCATAGTTGTCTGTCATATCTAAAAATGTATGTCTCTTTCTGCACTTTGAGTCCATCAGCTGTGTCTCAAGAGGTGGGTAACAAGCTTCATTATCAGTCTTTTGGCATTTTGATTGGTCACTGCATTGATAAGAGTTCTTAAGTCTTTTGTTTTTATAGTGTGATTATTATATAAATTGCTCTCTTGGTTCTGTTCAATTCACTCCAAATCAGTTCACAAGTCCTCATAAGTCTCTTTGAAACTACCCCTTTCATAATGTTTAATCGTTTCCATATGTACCATATCATTTCCTTTATGTACCATAATTTGTTCAGTCATTCTGTACTTGATGGGGTATGGGCCCAAGATGGTCCCCCCAAAACAAAACAAAACAAAAAAAACCCTTCCTTGATCCCTATTTGAACTTCTACTTGGTCAAGGAAGTCTGGCAGTCCCAGAAGTTATTCTTATTCCTATCAACTGGCGTTTCCTTATCACCTAGGCCTTTGTTACCCTAATTAAGACTGGCCCTATTCAATCTCCAGACACTCCCAGATTTTCCCAGGACCCACCCCCAGTCACCCCAGCTTCAAGATCCTCCCTAAACTCCTCCTCCAGTACTGGCCACTCTCATCAAGGCACCCCTTTTCTCAGCCCCCTCAGTCATCCCAAACTACTTGGACTCTCCTAGATCCCTCCCATGGTCTTTCTGTACGTAAGATCCATCCTGGCGGCCTTTTAGGGGCTGAGACTTCCTCATACCTGCTCACCCTTAGAGCATCACAAATGTTCAGATTCCTTAAGAGTCTGGCCTTTATGGCCCATCTTTAATAAACCTTGTCTTTGGCTGAAAGAAAGCTTGGGTTGAATTCTTTTGGGAAGGACGTGTGTGTCATGATTTGGGGTCCCAGCATCCCTAAACCTCTAGACCTTAACATACCCACTCATTATCTAGTTCTTTGTTTCTATAAAAAGAGCTACTATAAACATTTTTGCATACATGGGTCATTTTTCCACTTTCTTTGATCTCATTGGAGTACAGGCCTAGTAGTGCTGTAGCTAAATTACGGTCTAGTGACTTTTTGGGCTTAGTTCCAAATTGCTCTCCAAAATGAATGGACCAATTCACAGCTCCACCAATAACAGTGCATTAATGTGCCTGTTTTCTCACAGTGTCTCCAGAACATTTGTCATTTTCCTCTTTTGTCAACTTTACCAATCTGATGAACATTTTTCACATGACTATTGATTGCCTGGACTTCTTGAAATTGGCTATTCATATACTTTTAACTATATGAATTGGGGTTCTGTTTAACTAATAATACTCTTCTCAACCTTGTCTCAACCCATCTTTCTAGCCTCCTTGTATATTATTTCCTCTCCTGCATTCTTCAATCCAACCAAACTGGCTTTCTTTCTCTTCCTCATACATTACACTTTATCTCCTATCTCCATGCTTTGGCACTTTCCTGCATGCTTGGAATTCAACCCCTCCTCACTTCTACCTCATTCAATCCCTCTGGTCCTTTCAAGATCCAGTTCAAACACCACCTTCTATTGGAAACCTTTCCTGATCCTCTCAAACTACCTTGTATTGAATTACTTTGTATAAATATTTATAACTTTATTCTCTTTATATTTATATATGTCCTTGTCTTCCCTATTAGAATTTGAGCTCCTTGCAAGTAGGAATTGTTTCACTTATTGTATTTATATTCCCAAGGCCTAGCACAGTGTAAGTGCATAATAAGTGCTTAATAAATTCTTGTTACTTGCATAATAGCCCTGCTCAGCACTGGAAGGTAAGGCATGCAAAGTCAAAATTACTCACCCATATTTCTAGTCTCTGAAGCTTGCTACAACAACTGGATTATTGCCAACTTGTTTTTTTGAGTAGTTCTGTCACATTTTATTCAACAAATATTTGTTAAGTGATCATTATGCAGAGTCCTTTCTTCAGTGTCAGAGGTGATGCAAAGTTTATCTAAGACATGGTGTTTTCCTTTAAAGAGCTTATAGTATAGTAATGCTACACTTCCATGAAAACTTCTGCACTTATATGAATAGAGAATATGTTGCCTTGAACTCTACCCAGTGCAAACATAAAACTATACTTATACTTCCTTCAGAAATATGCTGAACCAAATATGCTTAAGATGGATGTAGTTAACCTTGTCTATTTATGTATTAGGTGTTTTTTGTTCTAATTTTTTGTCTGTTGTAACCATTACATTAGAAGATCTCAGAGATCCTTTTGAGGGTCTGACTATTCCCAAATGCAAGGTCAGGATGTTTTCATGTTAGGAGTGGGGAAGGGAAAGGTATATCTGCATCTATATCTATATCTATATCCACATCCATATCCATATCTATATCTATACATTTTTTATCTTGAATAACGATTATTGGGCACTTGCTAACTCTAGCGTGAGAGCATTGCATGGTTATAGCTAAAGGTTTTCTCTTCCCCTCTCTTCTTCCTAATAGTACTCAACATCTCAGCTAAAAAAGTGACTTAATAATAATATTTTACATTTCTGTAGCACTTAAATTGCAAAATGCCTTCTTTATAACAACCTTGTGGGGATAATAATACCAGTATTATTCCTATTTTTAGGTGAGGAAACTGAGACTCAAGAGGTACAATGACTTGCCTCTGGTCACATGAGGAAGAAGTGGTAGGTCCTGGAGTCATACATAAATCATACAACTTCAGAGTTGGGTGAGAGAGCTCAGAGGTCTTCTAGTCCTGTGTATTGGATCACAGGAGGTAGACCTGAAAGATATTTTAGAGATTATCTAGTTTGACCTTCTCATTTTACAGATGAGGAATCTGAGACCCAGATAAATTAAGTGATTTGTCTGAGGTCATCTAAGCTGCACAGATTCAAATCCAGATCTTGAGACATTAAATCCAGCGTTCTTCAAACCATACCATGTCACTTTCATCTGTTTGTTGTACTTAAGGTCCATAGTTCCATATCATATTTGTGCTATCGAAAAGAAAGCCAAAGTTGCCCTAGGGCAGTATAGTATCACTTAGACA